GTAGCAATATATGGTTTGGCTATCCGTGAATCGGATATAGAAGTACCAATTTCTTAAATCTCAACCACGTCTCGTGGATTTGTTCACCTTCCAAGTGTTTGAAACATTGGATGCTAACTCTGAGCGTCATCATCTTTGATGGGGGAAAGAATCTCACATGGAACTATGTGGTAATCTCATCCCAAGTGGTGATGGACTCCCTCGGTAACTCAGCCAACCATTTGGTAGCTTCACCCATCAAAGAGAATGGGAACAACCAGAGACGAACCGATTCTTATGATATGTTCTTGAATGAGAACGAACAACAAACGTCCATGAAATTCTGAATATGCTCGTGGGGGTCTTCATTGGACACCCCTCCATATAATCCTTTCATTTAGAGGAGTTGTAGCATCGTGCTAGTAACATGGATGACATCATTCCCCTTAACATGAGGTAGACGTATTGCACCAACACTACCCAATTGAATTGGGTCATTCACATCGTTCAGATTTCCAATGTCGTCTTGGTGGCCCACTTGGCTACCATTACTCCCATTCACACTCATCTCTTCCCGTGTTCAACACAAACCAACACAAACACAAACAAAAGTAAGTCGATTCAACTATAACACAAAAGATCACAATTCAACTTCAATAATAGAATTCTAAACAATACCACTTCTCGGCAGCGAAACTATTTTTATTAACACTCAGATTACACCACTTCTAATTCTAGGTGTAAAGACGATCGTTATCTAGTATAAAACCAAACGAAGAGTTGGGATCGAACCCATAGGGAGCGGTACAATGTTTGAATTCAATTACGAAGTACAAATGTAGTCTAAGCGGTTATAGAAATAGAAATTATCGAAAATATACTAACAAATCTAAGGGGGTGACAACGAATGTCAGATGGGGGTTTTGATTTGCAATTAATAGCTAAAACAAGTACAAAAACAGGGGAAATAATAATATTACGAGGAATTCTCGAGATGTGATCGATTATAAGCTAATTATGTTTTATGGGTAATTGAAATTTAACAATAATTTGTTGAATCATTGTGGGTAGGCTGGAATATAAGTGCAATAGTTTTCTCTCGAACAAATATTACGATTCATGCGATTTCATTCGAACATTGACAAGATTAACCCTACAAAATAGCCTAAAACCTTAATGCACCCACTCTCTCGAGCTAGATAGGTAGAATTGAGTTTAGAATTCATTCTATCGAGTTGAACCCGTATCAACCCAATACCTACAATTATTAATCAAAAGCTTTGGTTCGAAAACTTCTCTCTCAAGCAAACCAAGAACTCTATGCTAAAATTGCATTTGCAACTACCATCCACAGATTAAAAAATAGCTAATGATTAAATCCACATTAAAACATCAATTTCATCATTAATTAACAATACCCATAAGATTATTAGACAAATAAATACATGATCACACTCCAAGAATTGGAGTTTTAGCTACACATTATAAAAGGAGAAAAACGGTTACCTAATACATTAGCCATGATCTGGGTAAAGATTCTTAAGTCTTTACAATAGTCCAAATTGAAGAAATTCGAAAACCCACTTGCAAATCCTCAAAATCTACAATGGAAACTCAAAAACGGAGAGAAAAATGCAAAAACTCGAACTACTGAAATCAGAACGGGGAGAGACTGGAGAGGCTTCTCAAATTTCATTTAGAATTTCAATTTATAGTTGTTCAATTTTTGGCCTGAAAGGCCATTGGGCGGAGTAAGTCGGGCCTTGCCGAACAAGTCGGTGATCCGCCCTTTTCTCCATTCCATCGCCAATTTGCAATGGCCATCAGTCCTCCAGGTCCTGTAACTTTGGGCGATCAAAGTTTCCATCGCGGAGCCGTTCGGTGATCCGCCGACTGCCCATTCTTATCGCCAAGTTGGTTCTTCACCAAGGCTGGCACGCTGGAACTTTGGGCGAGCTCAAAAGCCACTCGGTGGTTCACCGAGTGGTCTTGGCGATCACCAGGATCGCTTTTCTTCACTTCTGCAGCTTGTTTGTTCCTTTTTTCCCGATAGTGTCCTTGCCTTGCTCTTTATCCTTAAATGCTGCAAATCAACACTTTAACATCAGTTTGGAGCATAAATTAGGCATTTGAGGACACTTTAACTATCAAAACAAAACCCTAAATGACTCAAAGTCTTGGACTCTTCAATAGGCGGAATAAAAAAGTCTCATGAAGACAATACCTTCAATTTAGATTTTTGTGGTGCAACTTCAATAAATTTTCTCCTTTTGACGTTGACTCTCCGACCTTGATCTTCAGGATCAAGTGCAATAGATTTCCCCTTTTTGATCTCCTCTAACTTTCTCTTTCTCAGGTACTCCTTCGACATCCCCTCCTTCTGTCGATCGACAACACTATGATCAACTGTCGATAATGGCAAAACACTAACACTTTGGATGTTACAACAGTTTGAATCAGACACGGGTGTTGGAGACAACAAACGAAAGTTTGGCTTTCCAACAAGTGTTACCATCTCAACAAATTTATCGCGTAGTACCATTTTAGATGATGAATCTTCCTTCGCCATTTTTCAAATTGTTGTGTATAAAAAGATGCAATATACATCAATTTCTATCAAAGATGAAGTTTACCGGAAATATAATCTCAATTTTTTTTGATAAAACTCAACAATATTATATAATACTCATACCTAAACTATGTGAAAAAATAAAAAAAATTGAGATTAAATCTGAAGAGATGCAGACAAATGAACACTTTCGATAACTACCCAGTAGTTACCAACCGTATCTCAAATGAAGGATTAAACTCGACCAATATTGAAAGAATTCTGAGAGAAGACTATATAGATTAGTAATGATTTGAATGTATTTAAGAATGTTTAGAATTATATAAATACAAAGAGAGAATGATTTAAGATTATCCATTTTTTCACGGTAGTTTAAATATGGAAGAACTCTTTTTGAATTAACGTAAGAAGATAATTAATATATCTATATATTAATAATAATAATTATTATCTTTTCAACTTCTTTAAAACTGCTATATATGTAAAAAAAACTTTCATATTTGTAATACTGAAAAAGTACTATTATTTATGTAGTTAAATCTTAATGATGGTCTTTCCACGTAATTTTCTCTTTAAATTGGGATGGCCTCAATGTTGTTGGGCTCGGCCTCGAAATTGTTTTGTTGATTCTCTTTATGAATTAAATGGTCCATGGACAAACTAAATCACTAAAAAAAAGGTGTTCGGCCTTGAATTTTTGTCTACGTGACTTTTTTTTAGTTTGCACTTCTTTATTATTTTATATATTCAATTGATTTATAAAATCCTAAACTCCTCCCTTCTTCTTTGTCATTTTTCTTCAACTCTATTGCATATTTTTTCAACCTTCTTTCTCCTCCTCTTGCTCCGTCTTCTTCTTCTTATAATTTTTTCAACGTCCTTCTTCATTTTATTCTTTTATAAGCTAATTTGAGTTTGTTTCTTCATTTTAATTTTTAACTTTTTTCCATGCTAGAATTGTTTTCCACGTGACAATTATTGTTTTAAAAGAGTGTAATATACAAACCATCACATATTACTTGAGGTGTGTTTCTTAAACTTATGAGTGATAATTTAAGGTGTGTTTTTCACGCTGCCAATAATTTAGGTGTGAAACTAAAAAAAAGAATATTTTATGTATGTTTTTACACTTCACTTTAAATAAAAAGATAAACCGTTTGAACGAACAAGGATTCTCCTATTTTTTATCTTCTCACCTTATTATGCAATAATGAGACTAACATAATTTACCAAAAATTTAGCAATTTAATGGTTAACAATTTCAATAGATTTATCAAAAATTGAGAGAGCCTTCTCAAAATCATGGAGTACATACATTATATTGTGGTGATGCATGAAAGCAAATGTGTTATATACAAATATTTATTCTAGTATCTCTTGGTTAATGTAGATCCACCATCCACGACCTCTGCAGTTAAGATCTCAATTGGGAAATCACAGTCTGGAGTTGAAGGATTATTTGTGGTGATGGTTGCTCCTAGTAAGTTGCATTTCCGCTGATCTTCGATTACTCATTTGGTATAAACATATTATATCCATTAAGAGACCTTCTCCTATGAAAACTAAGGTGATCACATGTTGCACCAGCGCCAAACGCAGTGCAGTCTGATTCGCCACATGCATAGTCGTAATCTTGCAATACTTGAGTCTCGTTGTGATCCGTTTTACCATCAAACACACACCATCTGTTTGGCATTCGTACCGTACCTTTTCAACACATATATAGCTAATAATTACAAGTCATGATGTGGCTAAATGAAAGAGAATTAGAATACACGCACTATGGAGAATTCCAACACTCAAGTGCAACACATAGCTAATGTTATATATATGCACACACTTTGTATTAATTAGTTGTTTTTCATTTCTATTTTTGATGATTAATGAAAAGGTAAAATTTTCCCAGAAAAAGGTTACAACCACAATTTATAAAGTAATATCAATAGCTTTAAAAAGGAAATTGTAATCATATGTTAAAAAAACGTTAAACACAATTTGAATACTAATTGTAGTGTAATAAAATTTCCCTTATTTTAGATCGTTTACTTTCTAGTCTACCACAACTCTTCTCTCTTTCTCGTCCATACTATATATGCATTCAGACCTAATTAACTTATGACATTCTCATTTATAAGAATAATAATGTGATATGAAGTAGAGGAAATTATCCATGTTGTTTGATCACACAATTGAACATAAGTAGTATATACCTTTGGCAATGGTAGGCTTGACATCTCGGTCTTGCATGGTGAAATCAATTTTGTACTTGGGTAAACCATCGTGTTTATAGATACCCCAATGTCGCTGATAAGGGCCATAATCTGTAGCAACCTTATTCTCATCTGTTAAGCCAAGGAGATACATATCTATATCTCTATTTGGGCGTAGTGGAGTTCCGTCCTTTCTAGATATATACTGAAGAAGGCTGCGATGAAATCTTTCAGCATTTGCTTCACTTGCACTCACATATCCATCTGTAGGCCAACCAATTTTGTCCGACAACAATCTCCATATCACCATAACCTGCCTTTGCTAGAGCAGAAACAAGTGTATCATATATGAAAGTGAAGAGATTAGTATATGTGTTATTTCCATCTATGATTTTAAACTTGGATTTATTATCGAAGAAAGCGAAGTCCACATCAAATCCGTATCTATAAACTGTATAGATTGGGAAAATATGCACAACGAAAGGGGCTCCAGTTCTGTTAATGCAATCGAGAAATTTCAACATTTTCTCCTTTATGTCTTCTCGAAAATCACCTTGTGATGGTTTGGTAACATTTATTAACACGTCCGTGAAATGGGGAGTTGTTGCTTTGATATCTAGGAGGTTGAAACTATCAAGGGCATCTCTGGTCATATTCAGGTAACGAATAGTACCGTTAAATTGTTTTTTCATATATAATGCTTTGGTAAAGGGTTCGTTCCCCACGTACACATACCTACAAATTAAATAAATAAGTTATATATGAATTGAGTTCAAATATCTAGAAATGAGACAATGTTTAATAATCCAATCTACTTGTTCTGGATATTAAATTCATCACATCACATGTACCTGAATTTAACTCCTTTGTCGGAATAAACCTTTACACGTTCATGAATATAGTCGTCCATTTGTTTTTGCTCAACAACATTTCTTAAAAAGTTCTCTTGTAAGGTAATGGCGAGACCAATATTGGTGTCTGCAAAAGCATCAAGAACGTTCAAGCTTGGTTGAAAAAGTCTCAACTCTGGAATTCCATTCTGTAAAAGTAAATCCACAACCATTGACGGAACAAACGTTTGCGTTGCCGTCCTTCCCCAATTTATGCCTAAGTAGGCGCCTACATGAATATCACCAGAAAGGAATATCAGTGACATCAAAAAACTTATCCATAGCGAACTTATCTTTTTGTTCATTTTGAGTTTTCTAATTCTTCAATGAAATTTTTGTAAGAGTAGTAAAAATATTATGTTTTGTGCAATGTCTAGGCGCCTGTAATGCAGCTCGCCTGCCTATGAACGTAATTATGAATTTACACTGTAAAAGAGAAAAGGATCATAACAATGACTGTTTGTTTTTCCAATGATTTTAGGCATTGCATGCAATGGTAACTATACCTACAATGTTGTGTTTGTGTGATTCCACATGATTGTCGGAAAAATATTTAAGAGTCGTTCATAACATTCTCAAACTATCGTCAAAATATTACGAGATGAATATTCTCTTTTATCGCCTTATAATACAACATTTAATTAAAGGGATTCAAAAAAATTAAAATTATGATTTATTTTTAAATAGAAACTGTACTAATACTTTAAGAATAAATAATCATATAACCAAGTAGTATATACATATTTTAAGTGGAACCATAAATTACCAGCTCTAACTAGATTTTAACTTTGAACCATGTCCATATTGAACACGCCTGCCACAGAAATGGAGGGTGGCTCCTTTGAAGAACATTATAGAATAATATATAAATACAACTTTTTACATTTTATCTTCTTGCTTCTCTATATTGTAAGATCCCGTACTTATACAAATGTACTAGTACGTAAAGCGGAAAGTAGAATCATAAATATTTACTGAAAAAGGGTAATAGAGATACCACCTGAAACTAAAACTGAAACTCAAATAATCTCCTTGTCTGACATTTGGCCTCCTACTATTTAAATATGCATGGTATGCTTGTATAATCGTATGTCGTGAATACATATATATTAATGCAAATGCATGACATACCCAACAAAATACTAGCAATGGTGGTGCCTTCCGGTAACGAACCAGCATCATATTCGCCAACTTGTGGCCATTTGTGTCTCATACGTATAAATATAGGCAATAGGCCCCATACCTCCCGATTATAGCTCAGGAGTAGAATGCATCGCATGTCATGCCATAGGTTTATAACACCTATTTGTTACTGTTGTCATGTTGCCACTCTTGGCCTGTTTGTAGTCTTGTTCTCATAACCCCATAATAAGTTTCGTATATTGCATAACAATCCCGTGGAACCTCATATGTTCTTCCAAATGAGCTTGAAAAGTTAACTCGAATTTTAGAAAGATAACCTAACCTTGCAGATAATCATAACAAGTTAAGGTGATTTACTTAGTTCCTAACTTGGTTCGTAGATAATTTATAAAAGAAGTATTTCAAAAATAAAGTGTTTTAATAGTTTAAACATTTAAGTTATATTAGAGAGTTTTGAAGATCGTGAGTTACTTTAAAGATTTTTCATAATAACTTTAGTGGGGAAGAGGGCTGGTTACAAGTGATAAGGGTCTCCTGTGATATTTTAAGTCCCATCACCCAAAAAGAGAATAAGAATTCATACATGCGGACATATAATCAAGGAAACCGATAAAATGACATGTAGATGTCGAATACTCTATTTATCCGAACGAGTGGAATATCAAAATAACAAAACCATGAAAATAATCCAGCTGAGATCCTAATGCCTTTCAGTGAAGGTCTTTCTAGCAAGAGAATAGCAAAATATCACATTCAGCGTTTTAGGAATTTCCGAGGAGTGGTGCTAAAATGAAGGACGTAGCTTAGTCTTAACATACCTTTCCAATGAACGCTCGAATGGCCGTAACTTCTTCAAG